CCCCCCCCTTCCTCCCCCTCCCCATCATCCCCCTCCGGAGCCCCCCCCCGCCCCCGGGGGGGGTCGTTACCTCCTCATCGACAGCCAAGGGCTGCCCTACACGGTGCTGGTGACGGAACCGGGGGGGGGCACAACCGGGACCCCCCCCCAAAATCGAGGGTCCCGGGCGTCGTTCTGGTGCCCCGAGTGCGGCCGTTCCTTCGCCTACCTGTCCTACCTGCAGCGCCACAGCATCACCCACTCCCCGCTCAAGCCCCACGTGTGCCGGGCCTGCGGCAAGGCCTTCAAGAGGACGTCGCACCTGGAGCGGCACCGATTCACCCACTCGGGGGGCAAGAAGCCCCTGGGCTGCCCCCTGTGCCCGCGGCGCTTCCGGGACTCGGGCGAGCTGGCCCAGCACCAGCGGGTTCACACCGGGGAGAGGCCCTTCCCCTGCCCCCAGTGCCCGCTGCGCTTCGGGGAGAGGAACACGCTGCAGAGGCACCTGCGCAGGAAGCACCCGCAGGGGGGGAGGGACCAGGGGTGCTGAGGGGGGATCAAGGTGGGTGGGGGGACGGGGGCAGCGGCCACGGGGCTGGGGGCGCGGAGGGATGGTGGTCCCAGGGTGATGGATGGTGGCCCTGGGACCAGGATGTGGAGGGACGGTGGCCCTGGACGATGGATGGTGGTCCTGGGACCAGGATGTGGAAGGACGGTGGCCCTGGAGCTCGTCGGGACGGGACGGTGGCCCCAGGTGATGGACGGTACCCCCGGGCGATGGACGGTGGTCCCGGGACCAGGATGTGGAGGGACGGTGGCCCTGGGTGATGGACGGTGGCCCTGGGACCGGGATGTGAAGGAACGGTGGTCCTGGGGCCAGGATGGTGGCCCTGGAGCTCGTTGGGATGGGATGGTGGCCGTGGGGCGATGGACGGTGGTCTTGGGGCCAGGATGTGAAGGGATGGTGGCCCCCAGGCACGGTGGCATGGAGGGGTGGTGGCCCAGGGCGATGGACGGTGGCCCCCAGGTCTGGGGCATAGAGGGATGGTGGCCCAGGGCGATGAACGGCATCCTGGGACCGAGATGTGGAGGGACGGTGGCCCCGGGCGATGGACGGTGGTCCCAGGACCAGGATGTGGAGGGACGGTGGCCCAGAGCGATGGACGGTGGTCCTGGGACCAGGGATGTGGAAGGATGGTGGCCCCGGAGCTCATCGGGACGGGACAGTGGCCCCGGGCAATGGACGGTGGCCCTGGGACCAGGATGTGGAGGGACGGTGGCCACGGAGCTCGGCGGGACAAGACAGTGGCCACGGACACCGGGGAGGAGGGAGATGGTGGCCCTGGGCTCGGGGAACCAGGAGATGGTGGCCCTGGGCTTGGGGCGGTGGGAAATGGTGGCCCCAGGCTTGGGGACGTGGAAGATGATGGCCCCTGGGCTTAGGGAACCAGGAGATGGTGGCCCTGGGCTTGGGGACAGAGGGTTGGTGGCCCTGGGCTTGGGGACGTGGAAGATGGTGGCCCTGGGCGTGGGGAGGTGGGAGATAGTGGTCCTGGGCTTGGGGACAGAGGGTTGGTGGCCCTGGACGTTGGGGACACAGAGGGTTGGTGGCCCCAGGGTTGGGTTGGTGGCCCCGGGGTTGGGGACACAGAGGGTTGGTGGCCCCAGGGTTGGGGACACGGAGGGTTGGTGGCCCCGGAAGTCGCCGTGTTCTGGGGGTGGGTCCTGCGCTGCCCCTCCCCCTCCGTGTTCGTTTTTTGTAATTATTAAAAAGCTGTTTTTTGGTTTTCTCTTCTCTCCTGGGGTGAGAAAACCCCCCCCAACGACCCCTGACTGACCCAATGACCAACTGACCCCTGAGCCAATCGGCACATGGACAAACCGACCCCCCAACCGACCCCCCAACCCATCAACCCCCCAACCAACCCATCATCGAACCACCCCACAAACCAACCATCATCCAACCAACCATCACCC